CGTACCGGTACTAAAGGTCTCAACCCCATTAGTACCGGTTCATGGCACTCTTTAGTACCGGTTCGTGGCACCAACCGGGACTAAATGTCCCATTTGAACCGAGAGTAATGCATGTACGGTGCCCTCGCCGCTCGAACCGGGACTAATGCTCACATTAGTCCCGGTTCGTAACGCAACCAGGATTAATGCTCTTTTCTGGCCGAACGAAAGCCCTATTTTCTACTAGTGATATACTACCTTTGTAAAGAAATATAAGACTTTTAGGTCACCAAAATTGTCTTAATGCTCACATTAGACTAAAGACTAAAGTAGTGACCTAAAAGGTCTTATATTTCTTTACAGAGGGAGTACTCATTAATTTAGTGTATTCTTTCACGTAAGTAAGTACAAAAAAAAGGGCAACTTGGTGCATGTAGCTCCCGCTTGCGCAGGGTCCAGGGAAGGGTCCGACCACTTTGGGTCTATAGTACGCAGCCTTTCCCTATATTTCTGTAAGAGGCCGTTTCCAGGACTTGAACCCATGACCTCATGGTCACAAGGCAGCAGCTTTACCACTGCGCCATGGTCACAAGGCTCCCCTCATGGTCACAAGGCAGCAGCTTTCACGTAAGTAAGTACAAAGTTGTCAAAACTTTGAACTATAATTGATGGGTGGCTATTGTTCTATACCATACTTGTAGCAGAAAGACGTCACATGCATTGGTTTTTTATACTTGAAAATTCACCAGTTCAACATATATGGTTTATATATAATTGATGAAATAACTACACGTTTGTAGATTTGTGAATTTGCCTCCGACCGAGCTCTGCTATGAGGTGCTCCCAACCCCGGTTGGAGGTAGTCCTCACTCTCGGGGTTGATATCCCTTGGGATCAAGGTGGATGATCTAATGGAGATCAAAGCCTAGCTATATATATGGTTATAAAGAAAGCGCTGCCAGGAAGGTAGCCCAGAACTCGGTAGGTGTCTTTCTTAGTTTTGTGTCTTTGACTCTAACTGCATTCATGTTTGCATTGGCACATATAAGTTTTGCATAGTTGCTATTTTAGTTGGTTTCAGACTAATCTTCATTGGTAAAAAATTTAATGTATCGGTGGCCTGAACATTTGTTGCACACCTCATATTTCATCACAAATTTGCTATGTGCTTAATGTGAGGAGGGAACACAATTTTCTTTATGAAGTTTTGCAGCTCCAGAAGAAAAGACGGAGTGTGGTACGACCGCTCCTGGTCATATCAGCACTCGTACTAGCTCGAAGCCATGACAAACATAAGGTCCAGAAGAAAAACACGGACCGCCGAGCGCTACCCGTGCTTGCACTGTCAGTGGTTGCACTCCTACGTAGGAGCATCCTTCAAAGCAAAAGACAATGCACGGTATGAGTGCTCTCACTGAGCGCTCGTACCCAACATCAATA